AAAAAGACATTTTAGATATGATTTTCTAATAAATTGTTATTTTTGTATTTTGATATAATATTTTGTAATAAAAGTGTTTTTGAGAATAATACAAAATGTAGTTCTGAAATAATGGAATAATTGATGATTTTGAAATAACAATAAATTATTAAAGATATTATGATTTCAAAACAAAATATTCAAATAATAAAAATTATATTATAAAATAATAAATATTTTCTATTTTCTTTAATAATTTCTTCAAAAAATTTAATCATAATTATACAATTATACAATTATTTAAATTACTTTTATTATTCAAATTATTTTTTACCCTAGTTTCGAGAGAATCACACAAATGGCAGAAAATTGCAATGACACAAAAAATGATCAAAAATTTATATGGCATCCTTCAAAAAAACCTTTTACACCTAGAATCCTTCCAAATCTAATTTTCGTTTCAAAAAGTAGCAAAAATTATCTAAAAGAAGAAGGAAATTTTAAATCAAATATTTGAAAAACTTTTTTTTTCCAAAATCTAATTTTTTCGCTTCGAATGTTCGAAATAGAAAAATTCATTCGAAGTACAAAAATTCGAATTTACCATTTTTCTGTTTGAACAGAAAAAAAAAAAATATTCGTTCGCACGAAAAAAAAAATGGATGCACGTTTCTTCTCCCCTCCTCTCTCGAATCAGCTCTCTCTGATCGTATGTACTCGTCCTCTCCGGAACAGAGATGTCAATGTACTTCTTCCGGTTGCACAACCTGCGCCGTCAGGCGGAGGAGGTACGAAAAAAGCGGCAGAAAGGAAAACCGAGCCAAAGCGGACAACGTGGGACCAATACGGACCAATCTCAGCCAACAGCCGGATCCATGCACTGTTGTAACAAGGTGCACAGGGGCCCGAGCAGGCTCTTTGAGCGTGCTCCGTTGCAGCCCAGCGATTCCCTCGATGAAATCGCGTTTCAGATACCAAGGTAACGTTCCTCTAATCGTATTTTGATTCTGTGGATTGTCGTTTTTATTATTTTTAACAGGATCTGTTGATATGCATCACGGTAAAAAATATATGGAGAGGAATATTTTTGAAATTTTCAAATTTAATCTTGAAATTAGGCAAAACTTATTGTGTATATAAATATACATCAGATGGAAGTTATTTTGATTTAGAAATAGTTTTGAGCTTTTCAAAACTGTAATCTTGAAGTATAATGTTAAATAGAGATATCAATTATAAGTATGTATCATGTAGGAATATATTTTCTCAAAGTCAATCTTGAAATATATATTGATAGGAAATATTTACAATGGAAAAATCAATCATAACAGAAAAAATTATCAAAAACTATAAAAAATTGCTTAAATTATTTTAAATTACTTTACAATAATTATATTTAAATCAATTTTCTCTATAATTTACATTATTAATAAAAATGAAGAAACAAACTTATCTAATTTTGTGAATATATTTATATTTTTCATCTTTTGACATGAATAGATTGGAACTTTTTTTATATTCTTTATATTTTTTTACATATTAATAAAAATTTCTTTATAATTTTTATCTTTATTTAGTTTTTATACAAAACTTATTACTTATTAATGTATGATATATGTTGTCTATCTATGTTATTTTTAATTCCATTCATTTAAGGATGAAAAATATGATTAATTTATTTAACAAAAGTTAAAAAACTAATTATTCACAAATTTCCTTGAATCATATTAGAGGAAAGATTAATTGATGTATGAACTTTAGTCAATAATTTTTATATTTCCTAAATTATCTCAAATATTTAAACCATATTCCATCAATCATCTAATATAATAATTCAAATCTAATATTCCAACAGCAACAATCAAAAATCCGAAAATTTCCAACATCTCTTTTCATATTTTGCATATACCCATATACATCAAATATTTTAATCTTTTTTAGAAACACTATAATAAAACTATCAAAGGCACCAAGATTACAATATCTTCAAAGCAATGATTATCAAATAAATTAAAACGTCATCATTGTTTTGTTTTTATTGCTTTATTTAAAAGACTTTGTAATAAAGAATTCTTCAATAAATTTCAATTTTCCTTTTTTAAATAATTTTAATTTAAGAAAAAATTAAACATATACATATATACAGCAGTATATAGAGTCTTACTCTTCTACTAGAAGAGACTTTTATTACTCTTATTATTTTTATCTTCTCATAAAAAAAAATATTCACGTATAAACTATAAGACTCTTAAATGAACGAACACATTGTATACACGAGTCACATTCAAACGCCATCTATTGGCCACACTTGAACGAGCCACACACAAATAAAGAGGCAGCCATCTTTTTTATTAGATGCTCGACTAATGGACGCATCACCTCTCTCTCCACCCATGAATTATCACAGACGTTATTTTTCCTCTCTTGGAATCGTGGAACGCAAGAAAATTTTCGAAGACACCGTGTGTACGATGGTCGATGCAATTCTTCGGCCTCTAGTGGTTTCACGGGTCGAATCCAACCCATTCCAGATTTGATCTCCCCTGTCTCGTGTTAGATGAGAAAGTTTAAGTGTCGTAGTCAGTAGGGACAGAGTGGAAGGGTCAGAGGTCGAGATGAAGCAACTTGAAGTGCACAGGCTTTCGTGGGGATCGGTTGTGCTATGGACTCGGAAGAAGATATAAAACAGTGGTTCGCAACTTAGTGTCGTTGAGTATTTTTAAAGAGGTTAGCATTAATCCTTCACGATCTATGATACTTGAGACTTTTTATTCGAAATTTTTTCATTCCAATCTGCAGTAATTTCATTACTGTTATTGTGTGTTTAATGAATATTCTATTATTTTTTTTATTTACTTTTTTTTCCAATAATTCTTAAATGATCAATTGTTATACTCGTTAAAAAATTTGCTTTGGAATGAAAAATAATATATAATTATAAGACTGTAAAGAATTAATATTGAATTGTATTTTTAGTCGTTCGAGTTTGGAGTTTTTTAATGAATGAAGATAAAAATTTGTAAATTGAGAAAGCTGTAACTTCTGATTGCGCCAATAGTTTTCAATCTGTAGAATATATTATTTTTAAAAAAGTTTTCTTATTTTACATGGATAGAAAGAAATAGAGGTTACTTAAAATATTATAAAAGGGGATTGCGATTCAAAAAAAGAAGGAATAAATTAAAAATTCATCAATTGATGGACATCACACTCTATGAAGAAGTTGCCACATGCTTTTTAAAACTTCAGTCGTGACAGTTTCAATTAATATTAATAATGTTTTTAGTCATCTAACTCGGGAAGAGCTCTTTGTGAATTTTCACCAGATGCACTAACAAAATTATAATTCACGTAGAAAAATAGAAAAAACTATTTTCTGTGACCTCTGCAATGGCAAAAAAACTGTCATCAAAATTCTTTTTGCATTTGTAATTCTCTGATTATTCATTGGTTCACTCCCAAAGAGATTTTTTAAAAAGTTGACAAACATTTTTCAGAGGATTATTTTTTTAGGATATATTATTTTTTTCAAATTTTCTTTGCTTGATATGAGTGAAGACGGAGATATTTGGATATTGCAAAAAAGGGGATGTAGCCCCCCCCAAAAAAAGAACAAAGGTTTCGTTAAATTTACAATTGTAAGATGTAGGTCGCCCCTTTGAACATTTTATCCCTGAAAATTTTAATAATTTGGTTCAATGGCTGATTTAACATGCGTAGGACGTATGAATCTATACATTCAAAAAAAAAGTTTTGAATTCAACTTATCCGAAAGAGGAAAGATATAAATAAATTTTCTACAAATTTGTTTTGTCCTTGCCATTTCAAATTTTCAATATGTCAGAAAAGTTTCATATATAGGATGTCTCTACAAAAGTCATAGTACAAGTGATTCTACACAAAAATAAATCTAGCAAAAAGAAAGAATAACATTTTAAGTTTTCGAATTTTTGAAAAATTTTTAAATTACAAGTAAAATTGACTGTTAGACATAGGAATAAATTATCGACAGTAGATAATTCTATTGTGAAAATAAGCAAAAAATTGTAGAATAAATATTTTTCATTCAAAAATTAATAATTTTTGAGAAATTTCGCCAATTACACGATTCCTTGTTATTTCTCAAATATTCAATTTTCTCAAAGATAAAGATAAAATTTCATTCTATATTTTTTCACATATCTTCAAGAGGTAATTAATTTCATTTGTAAGGTTTTTAAATGATTTATTTGAAAACGAGATCTTAAACGAAAAAAATATTGCATGATTTCCAAGACACCTTGTATATTGTTATACTTGGACTTATTATTGTTTTAAACTTCTTATAAAAATTCCGCCATATTTGTTCGTTTCGACGACTCGATTCGCCATTTTCAACGCCAGATTACTATATGAAGACAAATATCGATGTTCGATCGAATAAGCAGCTTATCTCGTTTCTCCTTTGTAACACGGTGAAGTATTATTCAAATATTATGCATCACGTAATATTCCATTATTCGTATCATGAAAAATATTATTCACGTTTATATTTAAACACCACTTACCCAGATGTTTCGTGTACAATTTTCGATTATAAATTTTTCTTATTCTACGATTGACTATTGGTTATTTATCTGGTCACAATATCTCGTGATATTTCGCTCGACGATTTTCGAATAAATGATTTGAAATATAATATTTCATCGTCTTATCTGGTGATTTGAAATAATCATCGTAATATCGTATACAAATAATTTTTCCATTTTATCTTTCATTTGATCGAACAATTTTTCGAATAAAATCTCAGATATTCTTAAATTTCATCATTCTCGATATCCTCAAAAATATATATATATTTTTATATAACGTTTCAAGCATATATATATTATCGAAGGATAAATAAAAACTAGGAAAATAAGTTAAAACTATTTAATATTCAACGCGATATTTCGTGTCAAATTATTCGTTATTTTTATTTCGTATATTTTTTCGTATTCAAGTACGAGATTAAAAAATTACTTTTAATTTGGAATAAAATTATTTTTTACATGTTATTATTTTAATGTTAATAATTAATCATCGATTAATGATTGATAATTATATTTGTTGACAATAATTATAATTGTTACATCGAGTATAAAATATTGAAGCCTAGTCTCATCGTCGAACTATAGTCGAGTCACTTTAACTCTATTGAAGTTGACTATAGTCTCGTTCGGCTAATCGCGCTTCGGTGATTTCGAGGACTGTTCTAATTAAAGAAGTTGTTACGAATGCAGATAGGGAAAGAGAGTATTGTGATATCCTTTAATGTTGAGAATAGAGGTGAAACGAATATTGTTGAAAGAAATAAAAGGATAAAGAGAATATTGGACTTGGTTCAATGGTATCGTGCTTCCTGTTTTCTTTTTTTTTTTAAATCGAAATCTTTTTATAAAGATATTTCGATTTTTTATCGTTATTATCATTGTCGATATTATAATTACCTATAATTTTATATAATTCTGTATCATTATCATTTGTGAATTTTTATTTATATAAAATATAATATTAATTTTTAGAACATAATGAATTTTTTAAAATTATTATTCATTTAATATTGATAAAAATATATATTTATAAAATATATACGCAATGTTAATTTTAATAGAGGAATAGTATATTATATTATTTTATACAACGTTTATAATTTTGTATTTTTGTATTATGAATTTTTTTAAATAAATTTTTTATATTTTCACTACATTTGAACAATATATTTTTCTTTATATTCGCTCTTACGAATAATACGTAAGTCAAATTATAAAATTATATTATCAATAATTTTTCACCATTTTAATAAAAAAGAAAAAAAATTAATGTTAACAAACGATAAGGGAAGAAAGAGTGAAAATGATAATAAAAATAAAAAGATTATCAAAAACACGTAGGATAGTTACGTTTTCAGGATAGAGATTGTTCTACCTCTCCAACAAAAGGTCAAAGGTTGTCCTAACC